AWRKKGTTTAGTTTTTAATGAGCCTTAAAACATAAATCTCAATCACTTTTCAAGGGGTGGATTCAAACTCCAGTTACCAGGATTCATCTTACATTGTCTGAAATTGTAAACTTCGCGAGTTTCGAAACGAAAGACAGTCACTGCAATCATTTGGTAAACTGAAATCAGTTCAATTTAATTACCACACGGGTGTTAGCTAGCGTTTACGAAAAATGATCGACAAGTTTATCACGGTTTTTTTTATTTAGTCGATTTTCCAAAGGTTTACGCGGGACAATTTTTTTTGGCGGCGCGTCTGAAAATTTGTCAGCTTCTAAGAAATGTCCAGTCGCGAGAAACCGTTCGTACTTAGACAGTGTCGGTAATGAAAGAAAATTTTTCGCTAGTGCGGATAGGCCGTTAATATTTATTCACTGCGTTAAAACATAAATCTCAATCACTTTTCTTTTTTTTAACTGCGTTGATCGTTGCAACATAAATCTCAACCACTTTTCAAGGGGTCTGAAGTTTCGAGGTCTGTGGTCTGAAGTTTCGAGGTCTGAAGTCTCGAGACACCCTCTACTGCCGGCGGTTTGACTTTAAAGTGTGAGAATGCGCAACTCTTTTTTAATTCTTGTCTTAATAATTACGCATTTGTGGCTTTATTAGGCTAAAAGCCCATAAAGCAGCCTGAAGTTTGACTTCGAATGGTCTAAAGCTCTCTCGTAACAAAATGATCCCTCGGTCAAATTGGTCAAAACGAAAACATCACTGCATTTTCAAAACTTAGTCCTATAAATAACTTACTATAGCTCTCTTAATGTTAACCAACGCATGAGCAAGACAAAAAAATACCTGTTTTGATCCGGCTCTAATTTGTCGATTGGTATTGAAGGCGTTTTCTGTTTCAGGAAAGAAGAAACAAACAGCTTAGGAAACCCAGAAAATTATATGGTCCAGTTTTCAAGGTCTGGTGATCATATGCTTACATACGTATTCCCTAGCTGGTTTCAGGCTAACTGATTTTTCCGAGAAACTAGCTACTCCGGTGTCTTAGGGAGCTATTGGGTGGTAACAGCTATTGCGTGCGAACAGCCAGAAAATGAAGAATTATTTTTGGCGCAGAGCCACTAGTAAGGGTCAGCATTCTAACCTGGTAATCCCTAGATATTTCTCCAATTTCAGGCATATCATTTGACAACAAACAGTCCCTTTAGGGAAGGTACGTTTTTTATTGCGGGGGGTGGGCCGCGGTATTTTAGAAATTTTTTGCCAAAAAAGTCGTGACCCTCCCACTATCCAGATTAATGCATGACCCTTCACAAATGCCTAAACAAAAGGATCTGACCCTACTCCCACCTCCTCCAAGACCAAAATAACCGGAAGTGAAAATAACTGACAGGAAGTGTTTCTCACGTAACCGTGTCTGCGCACAAAGCAGTTAATTGTGTGGCGTTGCACGGTGAAAACTTGAAAATGGGCTAGGATGTGCGAGGAAAAGATAGAGGGAAACGCGCTTGTGGAGAATGCGAGGATTTCATGAGGTCAGATGGAGCAACTTGTGGCTATTGTGGCTGTTTGCCGACTCGCCATTCTAAAAAGGATGCCCGCTACTCCTCTGACTCTGTTGGTAGCATGAAAACAAGAACTTGACTCAGAAGATGAGGAATGGCTGGTGAAGTGCATTGAAGACAAAGCGACCATTTACAGTAGAAGACATGAATCTGTTCTTTACACGCATCACAGAGTTAAATGCAGAGATCTTCTAAATATTGCCAATTACTGTCGATTGAAGCTAGGGAAGAGACTTTTGAAGTCAGTTTCAAGCATTACCACTAGGTCCAGGGCAACTAATAAGAGTGAATAAAGGCTGATAGTTTCGAAACAAACTGTTTGGGGCTGCGTCGGTGGGAGTAACGAAATAATTTGGATATATCAACAAAGTTGAAGTGGTAAATTGGCCACCGTAACGATTAAAAAAGCTGACGTTTCGAGCGTTAGCCCTTCGACATTGCTACGACGAAGGGCTAACGCTCGAAACGTCAGCTTTTGTAATCGTTGCGGTGGCCAATTTACCACTTCAACTTTGTTGTTATATCCCAACTAACAAGAGGTCACGGCAAGCGAAGCGTCACCTAGGCAAAGGATTATGGTGTAGCAAGAAAACCACCTAAGACTGAAGATCGTGGAAATGAGTGCACTCACCATCAGAGAAAGCAAGTGCAGCTGGCTAAGGAAGAGTTTTTTTCAGTCGGAAATGCCAATGGGAGCCTTTGTATCAACATGGATGATAAGGCATACTTGCCTCCAGGAACATACGACGGAGCTAAAGGAGCCCGGCAGCAAACTATTCTGCAGCCGTCAAATGAAACCAGCGCTAGATCCTTGCCAGTACATGATTTTCCCGAGGCATCAGTGTACGTTACCCCATCTGCGTTTAGGTTTATCCGCAAAGAGGCAGAAGTGGTTGAAGAAGAGGTTACACTGGTCACCAAAACGGATGACAGTATTGTGGTTGTTGAACCTAAAGCTTACGTGCCTACTCATGCATCAACTTGGGCATCTGTAACAGCATGCGTCGTAGGTGGGAGAAGCCAGGTTTCCACGAACCGGAGGAGCTGCACAGATACCGGAAATACTCGGAGGAACTTCGTGGCTTATGTGCTCGAGTGCATGACTGCACTTGCTATTACGAGGATTCAACAACAGAGATTGACATTCTGTCTGTGACTGGGGCTGACAAATGCCCTTACAGGGAATACGAACAGTTGCGCTTGCATTCTTTAGAGTACTAGCTTACAAGTGCAAGGGAACGTTGGGAAGAAAATCAGGACATTAGAGGCTCTGAGAAGGAGATTGGAGACAACATAGTCTATGTTGCTAATTGCCTCCTAGATTGTATCAGTAAGGCAGAAACGGATATGAAACATGTAACTGGTGAACAGTTGCAGAGGGTACTAAATCCCGTAGTCGAACAGTGAGATGAGGTCTTGAGAAGAATCGCCTACCTCAGACTGCCACCTGTGTATCCACGCTTACTAGAGCTAACTGATGCTGGTCCAGGAGTTGAAATGGCAGATATACGAGACTTTACATGGACTTTCTGAAGAGGAAGTTAAGTCTCTTTCAACGTCAGAGCTAGACGTGCACAGCAGTAAAGTCATGGAAAAAAATGCGTGGGCTGTTGCTGAAAAAGTGTGTCTTCGAATTGACGACTCCCCAGCGCCACGGGGGTAGATTTCAGCATTTTTGGTCGACCGACCAGAAAATCAATTTTTCTACATCAACCACCAACAATCAAAAGAGTTCTGTTCCGGGGCATGGGTATTTTTCCAAGCTAGAACAATTGGAGAGCCTCCATTGTGAGAAAGGTGAGCTTTATATGGAGTATAAAAAAAAAAACAACTGTGACCCTCCCCCGGCTGCGTATCAAACAGGTTTGACCCTCCCCAATTTGTAAAATATTTACCAATGGCCCTCCCATCCGAAGCCCCGGCCCACCCCCTCCCCCCAATAAAAAAACGTATCTTCCCTTTGACCCCTTTGCACCCTCCCTTTGGTCTCCTTCGCAGCCTCTCTGTTTGGGATTTCATGCACTACCCAACGTTCCCGTCGAGAAAAGAACCTGCTTACAACTGATGAACTTTTCTTCTCTTTTCTAGATATACAATATAGGCTGATTACAGAGAGCCATCCTTTATTGGTGAGCCTATTGCATCAATTTCGTCTTCTTTGACCTGCACAACCAAGTACCGTTTTTCATCGCAGCCCACTGTGAAAAATATCACTAATATAAATGGCGGCGCTCAAAATATCGTTTTACCGAACCTAGTCTAAGTTCAAGTGATCTGAGCTTGATTCTTACCAGAGGCCTTTGATTCAATTTGAATCAAGAGAAACCTTCTCAGCTGGTCCTCTCTCTAAACAAGAAGGCACGGAAAACTAATTTTCTTTTCCGACTATCATTTTTGAGACGTGTTAAAAGAAGTGAATTAGAATACAACTTACCCGGCCAGATTTAAGAATCGTTTAAAGCCTCAAAAAGGATTTGATCGCATGAACTATCGACAATGACTTAGTAGAGTGCGCTTCTATAGTTCACTTACTTAGCACCCAGAGGACACCAAACGCGTGAGTAATTTAGAAATAGATTATTACACTGAAA